TCCATTAAAATTTTATTTTCTTCTGATTCTAAACTTAACAAGGGCTGCTCTTATTGGAAAATGAACAGTTCTTTACTTGAACATAATGAGGTTAAAGTAGAGCTAGAAAGGCTTATAGGTTTTTATTGGAATAAAGCTAAACAGGAAAGCTCATTTGGTATTAATTGGGAACTGTTAAAATATGAAATTGGAAAATTCTTCAGAAAATTTAGTGCTAATTTGGCTAAAACTAAGCGTCTTGAGGAAACTAATATTGTCAGCGAAATTTCATCTATTACCGGGATCCTGCCTGAAAATCTCTCTGATAACCAGAAGGAACACTTAATTGATTTACAATTCAAGTTGGATAATTTATACAAATTAAAAGCAGAAGGGGCTTTCATAAGGTCAAGGCAAAGGTGGCTTGAACATGGTGAACAAATGTCTTCCTATTTTTTCAAGCTTGAAAAAAAATAGGTCAAAACATAACTCTATTTGTCAATTAAAAATTGGAGAGCTTGTCTCTGAAAATCCCAAAGAAATTTCCCAACATTGTTATACGTTTTATTCCAATTTGTATAAATCAAAATTTAATCTAGCTGATCTGGATACCTTTACAACATTTCTTGGTGATATTAATTCTATTAGTAATGATGAAAAAACTGTGTGTGACTCACCAATTACTATTAGTGAGGTTAAGGAGGCAATTTTGCATTTAAAAAGTAACAAGTCACCTGGTAGTGATGGGATAACAGCCGAATTTTATAAACTATATTCTGAATTAGTATCTCCGTTCCTTCCCCAAGTGTTTATAGAAGGTTTAAAGTGTTCTGAGCTTCCTGTTAGTATGAAACAAGGTGTTATTTGTTTGATACCTAAACCTAAAAAGGACACACTTCTTTTAGATAACTGGAGACCCATCAGTTTACTTAATAACGATTATAAATTGTTTGCCCTTATTTTTTCAAAGCGTTTTAAGTTGGTTTTACACTCCATTATTGATGAAAATCAGTCAGGTTTTATGAAAAATCGTCACATTTTTAATAACATTAGACTTGTTTTTGACCTAATTGATTATTCAGATTTTATTCAAGATGATAGTTTAATTTTGTTTTTGGATTTCTTCAAAGCTTTTGACACCATTGAGCATCCTTTCATCTATTTTTGTTTAGAAAAATTCGGTTTTGGACCCTACTTTTGTAATGCAATGAGTACAATGTATGCTGGGGGAAATAGCTCAGTGAAATTAGGACATGGAACTACACAGAGATTTCTATTAGAAAGAGGAATTCGGCAGGGCTGTCCAGCCTCTGTATACTTATTTCTTATAGTAGGCCAAGCCTTCTGTCACTTTATTAAGGCAAGTAAACTAGATGGAATTCAAATTGCTGGATGAAATATTTTAATTAGTCAGTTAGCGGACGATACAGCCCAATTTTAAAAGACTCAAACCAGGTTCATCAGGCTATCAAATCCATTCAATTGTTCTCTAAAGCCTCGGGTTTGCACCTTAATCTTAAAAAATGTGAAATATTAGCTTTAAAAAACTCTCCCCTATTATCTGTAGAAGGTATACCAGTTAAAGAAGCCGTTAACTTTTTAGGTGTTGGCATTTCAAAAAAAGAACAAGACAGAGTTTCCTTAAACTTTAACCCTGTTTTCGAAAGGATAAAAAGTAAATTCAATCTTTGGTTATTAAGGGATTTGTCCTTAAGGGGCAGAGTTCTTCTTTCAATAGCAGTAGGAATTTCTAGATTAATCTATTTTGCTTCAACCTTATATCTAGATAATAAAACAGTCAAGTCTATTGATACGATTTTATTTAACTTCTTATGGAAGAATCGTGTACACTACATGCGCAAATCTGTTGTTTTAAATTCCCTTAAAAATGGGGGTCTTGACTTTTTGGATTTCTCTTCTCTAAATAACACTCTTAAAATTAATTGGTTAAAGTTTTGTCTAAATAAACCTTCTTTCTGGAATTTTATTCCCAATTTTATTTTTGACCAACTTGGAGGTCTTTCCTTTTTGTTATTATGCGATTATAAAATTGAGAAATTACCAGTGAAGCTCTCTGCTTTTCATGCTCAAGCCTTGTTGGCGTGGAAACTGATCTACAAGCACAATTTTTCACCACAACGTTATTTTGTTTGGAACAATAGATGTATTTTGTATAAATGCAAGAGTATCTTTTTGGAGAGGTGGTTTGAAAAGGGTATTGTTTTAGTTTGTCAATTGTTTAACACTCAAGGGTATCTTATGACATATGACGAGTTTCTTGTACATTTTAACTTTCCTGTAACTCCCAAGGAATTTTCTCTTGTTTTCTCTGCAATTAATTCTAATATTGTTTCCTTATTTAAAGGTGTAACTTGGATTCATAAGCCCATAATCAATCTAGTTGATACAGCGTGTGGTAAAATTTGTCTTCAGTCTAAAAATAACAAATCTATTTGCTCTCTATTTGTAAATCAAGTTGTATCTAAACCTTGCTCTATTACCTATTGGAATAATTTTGTAAGAATTCCTAAATGGGAAAGTATTTGGTCATTGCCTCACAAATTTTTGGTTACAAATAAGATAAAAGAAATATCTTTTAAAGTAATTCATAAATTCTATCCGGTTAAACATTTCCTAAGTAAATTTAAAAAGGATATTGATATAAATTGCTCTTTTTGTTCTTTGCATTCGGAAGCTGTACCCCACCTTTTCTGGCACTGTGGTTATGTTAAAAAGCTCTGGTATGATGCTCCTGTTTTTATAAAGAAAAGGGTACTCTTTAACTTTAATATGCATTATGAAACTGTAATTTTTGGGTATTTTAATTATGATAATTTGAATAATGAAGCTTTTGTTATTAACCTATTTATTTTGCTAATTAAGTTTCATATTCATAAGTGTAAATTTTCCAACAAAAAAACTTGTTTTACTGTGTTTTATAAGGAACTGAAAAATTACTTTTGCACTATTCAGCATAGTGCTAATCGAAAGGCCATTAAAACTGTCCAACTGTGCTCTAGTTTCAATATCTTTGATTAATGTAAAGGTCCTGCTTGTTTATATTTGTAAGAATCTTAGTTAAGTATTTATACTCTTATTTTTATGGTTATTTTATTTTATGTTATTTTATGTATTGTTGTTATCATTTACTTTCTATCACCCTGGCATTGTTTTGTTTGCTGTATTGTCTTGTATATGTTGTTTAAAGCATAATAAAAAAAATAAATAAAAATATAAATAAAAAAAAATGTTTGCTGGGTTGGATTACAGGAGCGCGCCACTGAACCCGGTGAGAGCTGAGAGAATCAGAGCTGTGGAGAATCTGATCATCACAGCGACCTCTAGTGGAGGAAAACTCACTTTTACAGAAGTGAACTAATGCTTTAATAACCTGTGCTAATCATTCACTTACAATAGCATTATAGTTCACTATTATCCAGCAAGTTTTTACGCAGCGGATGCCCTTCCAGCCGCAACCCATCTTTGGGAAACATCCACACACACACACACTCATACACTATGGACAATTTAGTCTACCCAATTCACCTGTACCGCATGTCTTTGGACTGTGGGGGAAACCGGAGCACCCGGAGGAAACCCACGTGAAGGCAGGGGGAAAATGCAAACTCCACACAGAAACTGCGCTACTGCCTCCCCACCTTCACTATTGGAATTCATAACTTGATAATCCATTGTCTGTAATATTTTTTTTTTTTGCATGAGTAAAATTTGCATTTCACTGATTTTTCGTAATAATTAAAACAATGGTAAATCTGATAAATGATTAGAAATGATCCTTATATCAGGGATTATTCATTGCAGTCTTCTTGTTTTGTTTTAATTCATTGATGCAAATTAGGTCTGTAAATCATTTTTCATTATTCTGTAAACATTAAATGAGATCTGAATCACTAACCCTAAACAAAAGAGTTTTTGAATTAGAAACACTCAATAATATGAATCAGCCTTTCAGTTCAAGCCTGCTGCAGTCGCTCTTCTTCTTGGAAAGGTCAGTGCTGATCCTTGTTCTGCAGATTCTGACGTTTTAAATCTGCTTGTGGTGTTTTATTTATTTGTATATGGGTGTAGGGTCCACCCAGTTGGTCCAATGACGGTATCCAATGGTGGATGAAGGTTCACTGCATGTTCGGTCTTTCCAGTGCACAATGTTGATTTATATTAAACTTAACTCATATCTGACTCCAATTTTAGTATGAGGTGGTTTAGAATATTAATATATTTATCCTCGTTTTATCTGACTCCAATTATAAAACATTGATAAGATTATTTTGTTTCCTTTCACATTATTTTAGATTATGATTGAATATTCTTTTAATTTGTTATTATACCTTATTCTCATTTACTCAGATTCCTATAGCATCTCGAGTCTTGCACCGGCCGGGTATACAATCTCTTAATACAAGCTTGTCAGTCTTGGTAATTAAACAGAGGCGATTAACCACTCTCCTAAAGTGGCAGAACCCTATACTTACTCAATTTAGGAGATTTTTTATGTGGTCCCCATAGATCTGTTATCTACTTAATATCAAGACAAAGTATTTTAATAATAAATAAATGATGAGCTTAGAGAGTTATAAATCATTTTATAACATACAGAGATGAACATTTGTAGAAAATACATTTAAATGTGTTTTTAAAAAGTGTTAAATTACTTTAAAACGAAAAAACAAATCGCCAATAGGTGGCAGCAAGAGACCGCTTTAATCGAGTGAAGCTTTGAGTGATTCATTCAGCCACGAATCACTGATTCAGTGACTCGCCCGACTCTATACAGAGTCCTGAATCATTCGTGTAAGGGAACGCAGCTGTGTTTTATTCAGAGATGTCCAACTGTTCTGCTGTTTATTTTATTATTATCATAGTAATGATTTCACTATTATTTATGAGAAAATAACGCGGAAGTTTTTCAGCGCCTCGTCACGTGATCGTCAGCATCCATGGCAACGGTTCTCTTTGTGTTGTTTTGAACTCCGCTCTGTCATTGGCATCTGATCTGGGCGTCCTTCGTGGCAACTGATTCCCAGATTATTGATATTATTGATTGTTGGATACATCGATTGATCGCCTGCTGCTCCCTTCATTCAGGTTTGACCCTTGTTATCACACTGTGTTTTGTGTTCAGTATGTCTTGTGTTCATTACAGGTTTCAGAGTCGACTCACCTACGACTCGCTCCAGTTTGAGGGCCTCAACATCACTGTGGGAGAGCTGAAGCGGCGGATCATGAGGCGCGAGAGGCTGAAGTTCTGCCAGCTGAAGATCAGCAAAGCCCAAACTGATGAAGGTGAGATGAGGAAAAGCCACTTAAACTATATTACACTAACATTAGATGTATTATCAGACAGACTTGTAGAAGCTGTGATTTATTATCATGACTCTGATGGTGACATATAGTGATGTTTTAAGTGTTTTTAAATGCTAATGGCGCTCAAAGTATACCATGGTAAATGATTATTACTATATTCAAACTTTATTTTGCTGTCAGAATACACAGATGATGATGCTCTCATCCCTAAAAACACATCGGTCATCATCAGACGGGTCCCTGCGGCTGGACTGAAGTCCTCCAACAGAAGATTTGTTGGGTAAGTCATGTGAAATGAGCGCAATCGTCCTCTGATAGATGTTATATCAAGAGTTTGAGTCTGTCTGTGGTGTTTTAGTCACACAAGCTCCTTTGTTTTGCAGACATCAAGCTGGACCATCAGCTAAATCTTTTCAAACAGGTGATTCTTTACTCCTCTCACTGGAGCAGCTGTTGAAGGTATTGAACAAATGATTAATTCACCCCACTGTGCTGCTCTGTATTGAACTGCAGTGTTTGCATTTGAGGAGTCATAATGACATGTAGTGCAGAATATCAATACGCAGTGTAAAGCAAACAACAATACACACAAACACACACAGCTTCTTAGGGAGATTTGAGGGTGTTTATTTAGAGCAAATCAGTGAAATAAAATTCTAATGTGCAAATGCCTGTGAAACAGACTGAGAATCTGGCTGAGGCAAAGGCATCAGAGGAGGACAAGCTAAAAGCGGTGATGTACCAGTCCAGTCTGTGCTACTACTCCAGCAGGTGAGCGTTCAGACACTGACAGGTTTGGTTTGTGAGAAATGTTAGAGCTGATTCTCATGGTTCTGATGTTCATCAGTGAGGCCATGACACTGCTTGGGCTTCTTCCACCCAACTATGTCTGCTTTCACTGTGGGATCCCAGGACACCACATTAGGCACTGCCCCTCTAAAGGGGTAACTGGGTTTTCTAAGCTTATGGTTGCTGTGAACTTGAGCTCTTGTCTCCATCAGTCAGATTGTTTGCTCTGTCGTTTGACTGTCACTCATGAATTCACAGGGCAGCAGCTCTGCTCCGCACAAGCGCATCAGGAGGAGCACAGGGATTCCCCGCAGCTTCCTGTTGGAGGTGGACGACCCAAACCAAAAGGGTGTCATGATGGACGGCAGCGGCAAATACGTCATTCCCATCATAGACGCGTGAGTAAACTGTACTTGGCATTGCAGCATGTTCTATTGTTTGTGAAAATCTCACATTATGTCTGCTTGTGTGTGTTTGCGCTCGATCTGTTCAGTGAGGCCTATGCTGCTGAGAAGAAAAAGAGGCCGTCCTTCTCCTGCCAGACCAAGCCGCTGCCCTCCTCTTCCTCAGCTGGTGCAGCATCTTCAGTCCAGGACGCCAGAGGGAAACGTTCCCGCTCCCCATCTCCACCAGAGACGCACGGCGACCAGAAGAGACCACGTCACTGAGAGACCTTCACCCAAGAGACCTGGAGCCGACGTGAGCACAGTGTATATATTGTACATAGTTTATGAATAAAACTGAATAAAGATTATAGCAGCATAAACTGTGGACTGGTTGACCTTCACACAATACAGAAACACAACAGAAAATGATCAACACATTAAGATAGAAATGATGAACAAACATGCTGCGGGAGAACCAGTGTGCTGTCCTGCTCAGAATCTAAAACTTTTAGTTAAAGTTTATTGAATGTTAATCTGAAAAAAATAAAATGCTGAACAGCTTTTATAGTATTCAATAGTTTTCCTCATTAAGGGGAAAAGTTCAAGAAACATGGAAGAAAAGGCGGCATGTACATATTTTTAAAAATCCATTGGAATGACAAAGATGTGCTTGCTCTTATAAGTCATTTTGGCTGTGTTCATATGGTGTCCTTTGGTGGTTTCTATTGCTGTTATTGTTTACTGTTCAGCTGACTTAAGCAAATAGATTTCTTTATATATATGGCCTCACTGTAGGAAGGTCGCTGGTGGGAGTCCCGGCTGGGTCAGATGGCATTTCCGTGTGGAGTTTGCATGCTCTCTCCGTGTTCATGTGGGTTTCCTCTGGGTGCTCCAAAGACATGTGCTATATAGGTGAATGAATAAGCTAAATTAGCCATAGTGTATGTGTGTGAATGAGGGTGTATGGATATTTCCCAGTACTGGGTTGCAGCTGGAAGGGTATCCGCTGTGTAAAACATATGCTGGATAAGTTGGCAGTTCATTCCGCTGTGGCGACCCCAGATTAATAAAGGGACTAAGCTAAATGAAAATGAATGAATAAATTGATTGATTTTATTTGACAATTTTAACAAAAATATACAAACAAGGCCAGTTTGACATTAATATCTTAAAAACTGTCGAGGATAAAATACACAATAAAGCCACAGGCTGATTTCCATCGTGGTCGTCGATATTCTTAAAAAACGAACGAGCAAATCATAAAGTGCAAACATCATCAGCTCAGAAACTCAGCACAACAAAAATCCTCAACTTCAACCGTAAAACAGCCATTTTTAATTTCCTCTCTAAAAACTCTCAAATTGAATCTCTTTAAAACTCCTCGGCAGTATATTCCAAGCAACAGTACACAGAAAAGACTTTCTACCTGTTTCACTCTTAAATCTACAAGGACAAATACCCCTGCTACTCGCTCTTGTAGAATGACAGTGTACCTCACTAACTAAAACTTAATAAGTAAATATTTTGGGACCATTTTCTTTAAAATCTGAAACACCATCACCAATTTCAGAAAAGTGACCCTTTTTCCAACTTTTAATATATTAATTTGAGTATAATATTCATTATTTAAATGTGTGTGTGTGTGGAAGTACTTTGATAACAATTCTGCAACTTATTTTTGGCCGTCTGCAATTTATTTTTTAAATTTTTGTGGAACTACTGCTGTACCAAAAGACTGCAGCATAGTCAAAGTATGACTGCACTAATGCACTAGCCAATATTTGTAAAGTTTGAAAATCTAAAAGCTCTGTCTGTCTTGCTAAAAACTTAATTTTAGAACTTTTGATTGGACTATAACAGCCATCTTCTCACCTGTCATTGCTGTATTAGTGCAGGGCAGTGTGACGAGTGTTATTGGACTTGTAAGTGTATAGAGCTTGCTTAGAGCATCCCTGCTGCAATAATAGAAAAATTTAGGCAACCCCTAAATAAGTTGGAACTGTGGTGAGTGAAAATGTATGGGTGTATGGGATAGTTCAAGTTGTGCTTATTCTTAGTATCACTTTTAAAACATTTGAATTGTGTGAGTGGGGGAAGGGATGTCGAAAATGTATATAGAACGTGCTTTGCCGAATTAATCGGTTTGCTTGCTTAATGGAGAGAGATAGTGTTCCTCCAGTCAGATCAGATATGGTGAGGTGGATTGTGGGATTGCAACTGATGTTAATTCAGAGAATCTCAAAACCCAAAGACTAGTGTGAATATGGCATTGTGGATGTGGACTGTATGATTGGAAATGCATCCTTGTGTAGATTGTGATTGCATTTGGAATGGATGTGGAGTGTAATAGGTTGGATGAAGGTCAGCTTCTGGGCCGGCTGTCCTAATCTCTGGAATGAGAAACAAGAGAAAATCAGAAATTAAATTTTACAACATGATACATGTATAGCAGACATGACAAAATTGTTGTAGCTGATATCTATGCAAGGCATCTTAATAAGAGCATGGACAATTGTGAGCTTCGTTGTCGCAGTGTGCGAGGATGATAGAGGTGGGCATTTGTTCCCCCACAGGATAGCAGGTGGATGCAGAGCTGGGGATTTGGGGTGTAGCTTGTCTGGTGGTCCTAGAAGTTCTTCTTGAAGATTTATTTAAATGTCCTATTCATGCAGTCAAGCGAGAAGTTAGTTTCTTTACCATTTTCACCTCCAACCGGCGTGCCATTATAAGTTACATATGGCACTGTATATGCAAGTATGGGTCGTTGGCGTATTACGATTGGACTTTTGTGTTAAATTCTCACTGGTTGGGTAATAGTCTTTACAGAAGTTAAATGCTATTAGATCTGGCAGAGGTTTTTAATTTATTTTATTTATTTTTTTATTTTATTATTATTTTTTTATATTATTATTCTTATTATTATTTATTCATTCATTTATTATTTTGTCAATTTATTTATTTATTATATCAAATCCCAACATCAAACGCTTAACTTAATTCACTACTTAGTGGAAACTGTATGAATGGAATGTTTGTTATGGGCTTTACTTCATTTGTTTAAATACATGTTAGGAATCTTAACTTCTTAATCTTAACTTAATTCGCAAGTATATCCGTCTCAGTTCATTCACGAGTCTTTTATGGCTGGGTTCATTCATGAATTGTTGAGAGGGCGGAACCATATCGAGTTTTAAAAGCGCATTGGATGAGGGCGCTGCTCCTTCAGCTATTGGCTCGATGGGGCGTCAATCAAGATCGTAGGCCAAGTTTGTTTACCAGTGTTGTGAGAAGACACTGCGGCACACCAGAGACTAGTTTGGATGATAACAGCACGCTTCATCGACGTATCAATATGTCGTGGACTAATGTCGTGATCTTTGCAGTGATTTACTTATGGATTTGTGGACGGGCTTGAAGGGCGAGTTCTTATGAATCTTCTAATCACGCGAATCTTGTTTTTAAAAGATTTATAAATGGGTTTAGTCTTTGATGGAGATTAGTTATTTCCGCGATGCTTCCCCTTAAAAGCGTGCTATACGTTACCGAGGGTGCACCGCTAGGAAGCAGTGAGTTAGGCTTTTGCGATGTTTTGGATCGTCGACGCCTAGAGAGTTTAGGTGGAGTTGTGGACTGCGGACTGGAGGTGGAAGAGCTGGTGGGCAGCACCGGCGTTTTTGCGGGAATTCTGGCTCAATTTTGGCGAGGCTGCGACTGAATTCTCAGGGAGAGTGGAGTTCTGGCTGGAGTTGTTGTTGTTTGTTTGTTGTTGTTGTTGTTGTTGTTGTTTGTTCTTCTGTATCGATAGGTTAAATGGTGCAATGCTGGAGCGTTTTGTAGCGGGAAGCAAGCTTCAAGACGAAGATAACTGGAGTAAAAAACTCAGGTTATTTATAATGCTTGCGTAATCATCTAATAGGGCTGATTACGTAGCTAACAAGGAGCCAGCCGTTTTGATTATAAGCCCGTGATCCTCTCGAAATTAGTTTATGAATAAACCACACTAAGAGAGCAATAGGCAAATATCTTTACATATAAAAACATTTAAATATTAAGGATATATATATACAGGATATAAAAAGAATAGATATAGGATTTAAATATAAAGGATTAAAATATTACAAAACATATTATTTTCTAGCCTACATAGATATGAAAAATCACTGCTTTTATGTCTTCTTCATCTCGGGAGGCTTTATCAGTTCATTCATAACAATTTGCTTTTGTATAATGTTATTATTATTAGCAGTATTATTTATTAAATCCATATTTATATTTGTTTTATTAAAAACAAGCTTAGATTTGCCCACCTGTCATGTTTTAGACCATAAGGGGCATAGCATGTGTTTTAGGATATAACTCAGGTTTTTGAGCACACTTCATTAATATTGATCATTTATTCGTTTGTTTGAAATTAGAACTGAATTTAGAAATAGTTTTGAAACGAATATTTGCGCTTGACAAACACAATTATTTATAGACTATTTGATGTCTTTGCGTAAAGGTTTCCCTATCCAAGAGCGAAAGTGAAAGTGATCTTTTATCTCTCATTCTCTCGCAGTAGATGCTCTGTTTAACAGTTTTCTGTTAAAAAAACTGTTTACTGTTTGCTAGTGAAATGCTCAGATTTTCCACTTAGACTTCCTTTACGCGACGCAGCTGGCTCTTAAAGGTAATGGGAGATGAGACTCTAATTGGTTAATTCTCAAAACACACCTATAACTCATTAAGAAAATAAACTCAACCCTTTTAGACCATGCGCTATGGCGCAAAGCGGATTTTCATGTCCTTAAATTAGCAAAAATGCATTCTGACACACCCTGAAAGCTTTTGCGCCCTGTGTTTTGCGCTCTGCGCATGGACCGTCAAAATAGAGCCCTTAGGGAGTCTTTGAGGGAACTGCACTGGAATATTATCTAACCCTGTTGCTTTACTATTTTTAGGTGTTATTAATTTCTTAAATAAATCCCCCTCTTCTACTTTATTAAACACAAAACTTTATAGACTAAAACTCTATAACTAATTTATCAATAAAAATGCCATTTTGTACTGGAAGCTTTTTAACCGTCAATATCAGCTGGTATTAAATAAAATAATTAACAATGTCATAGTCAGATATAATTGAAACAAACATGATGAAGCCAGTAAATCTGGTTGTGACTTACCCGTGTGTTACTTTTGTTTCTGATGGGGTCAAAAATTATAATGTGCCATTTATGTTTAAAGTAAAATTTACTTTACTTTACTTTACTTTAAAAAATTAAAATTGGGTGCTGCAGATCTGCAGAGTGGATGCGCGCGTACTGAAGAGCGGTGTTATCGCGCGCGTACTGATCAGCTGTGTTGCCGCGCGCGTACTCAAGAGCGGTGTTGTCGCAC